AATATTTATTGTGTCAAACTCACAAAAGAAAAAAAAAGGACAAACAAGCTGCAATACCTCTACAAACATGGAAACAAAAACTAGATCTGTATTCAAAATCCCTCTCTATATGTAATCAATAAACTATAAAGTATACTATTTAGTTACCTGCACTGTTTTGGCAGTTAAAAGATATACAGACGATGCTTTATTCATCCTCTTGGGGAAATTCAGGTGTCCAGTTTCCCTCAGTGAACTCAGAAGTCAAAACCCAGTCAGAAGTAGTTTGTAGTGTGTAAATGGGATGCAGGTTAGATTAGCGCAACAGAAATTGAAATACTTTCTATTACTAATTTTCTAATACTTTTTATTTTCTGTATGTGCACATAAAATAATCTGACTAAAAGTTCAACCCAGATTTAATAACAAACACAAACATAGGTTTAGTAGCTGCAGCTGTTGTGCAATAGAAGTTGTGGCATTACACCACACAGGTAGATGAATTATGCGAGAGACACCAATCCAGTAATTTCAGTTTAATCACCTATAAGGCAATGGTTGGTGACCAGTGAGAGAAGTCATAAGCCATTCAGTGTTTTACAGACCAAGGGTTTTCGAAGTATATAACAATCTAAACAGTTATGAACAGTAGATGGATGAAGGTTGTGGGTGACAAATGGAAACAGTAAAAATAAAATGTAGTGTTTTAATACTCGCAATAGTAAATTCCACAGTAGCAGCAGCAGCAGTAGCTCAGTACCTCACTGACTACAGTAGACTGGTAGTGCTCAGTACTGTAGGTCCATCCATCTTTACAGCCCTCCTGTGTCAAGCTGGAGAGGAGGACCTCTGGACTTGACAGGTTGTGGACCAGATCATGGCTGGGTCTGGTTCCCAGGGCAGACAGGTTCTGCACCAGGTCCAGCTCGTACCGGCTACAACTGCTCCTCTCTGGCCATCCGGCCACCTGCTGACCAGGAAAAACAACATCATCATTATCCAACTTGTGCTGCAACAACAGGAGGTAGACTGAACCCAAACAGACCGTATCCGATCAAACTAGACCAGTTCTAACCTGCACGAGGCTCGCTTCCTGGATCAGAGATGTGTAGTGAATTATTAGCTGACTGGATTTCACAGTATTTGAAAACCCTAGCTTGTGCACAATATCAGCTGTGTCGTGTCTCAGCATTCATCCAGATGTATAGAAAAACATTCTATTTGGAAATCATTTACTGTATTACTGTCCTGTACACTGTAACGTGAGCATTTGATGAAATATGTGTAGTCTCTTTCTATACCTTGCTAGTTTGTATGATAAACTAGGCACCTAAACTTGAACAGAATTAACATGACCTTATCTTAAAGAAAGAAAATCACATTACTGGAAATGAAATTAGTACATTTTGAGGTACTTGTACTTTACTTTCTGCTTTATACTTGCTTAATACACTATTATTATACTGTATATTACTCCACTACAAGTCAGAAGTAAGTATTGCAGTAGATTTATTCGACACCTATCATTACTCTTTACTTTGAAGATACATTTTTCATATCCATTTCTTTTAACAAGACAATAAAATCTGATAAATTCTTATAGATTAAACTTCCCAGTAGTTGTTAAAATGAGCTCAACCTAACCTTGAACAGTAAAATGCTTCTTACATTTTTATGCATCAGTACAGGTGATGAAATCATTTCAGATATCGTAATATAACAAGCACTTTTAATACTTAAAGTACATTTTACTGATTCTGTGCTTTTCTTGTTTAATAGTTTGAATGCATGGATTTTTTTTACTTGAGTATTTTTTGTATTGTTTTTGTACTTTTAGTAAAAGGTCTGAATACTTCTGCAAAAACATATAAATTTCAATGCTTTGTGGACCACAAACAATATTTAATTCACCTCCATTGTAATGAGATGGGAGTTCAGGTGGCAGAACATAAAACTTGTTACACAGCGGGGAGATAAATAAACCTAAAAGTGTTTGGTCAAACCACGGACAAAGGAAAAGTTAGTGGGATTTCATGCTTTCGGATTTAGGTGAGCTGACCTTTTCAATGTGAGTCATCAACTTTAATAGAAGTATTTTTGATGAGGTCCAATATTCATTCTCTTTTAACTCTGTTTTGGTCCCTACCAACTCCTGAGGGAAACATCTGGTTCTTTAGCTGCCTGATGCTTCACTCGGTTCACCAACTGGTTGCTAACTGTGTCTGTGTGCTGTTTGGTGGTGAGTCGGTAGTGTAGTGGGCTTGTGGAATAAAAAAAAGCTGCCCGCTATGACCGAAAATAACGATGAAATATCAGTGATGGTAAAATACTCCGTAGAGCCGAGGAGATTTTGTGGATCACTTTTGGAAGGCACAGACACAGGCACAGTTCTGACCTGTACTGGGATGCTGGCTTGGATCCAGTCCTGGCTCAGGTTGCTGTGGTGGGGGATGGAGCAGTGGTGGGGGGGGGGGGCGTAGCCAGCAGGAAGATGACGGACAGCAGGTTGTATCCACCTGGGATAATGGTGAGACAAAGCAGGAAGAAGACTCTCTTCTGGAACGGGCCCCAGGTCCCCAAAAAAGAAAGAGACTCCTCGTAGTCCTGCATTTTACTGGACTGTACTTATACTCTATTCTGTTTGACTCTGTTGTTTTTTTTTTTTTTACTGTGCACCTGCAGTCTATAATTTAATTCATTAAGAACTACTATAACCACTAAAGTAATTGACAATCGGGTTGACTATAAATGCTCAACAAATAGTTTGAAACTAATAATACTTTTAGACGACAATTAGAAATGTTACTGTGACAGGTGTAAAAACTAGCAATATGTAGGCTAGGCAATATACCAACAAGAAGAACAAATACAATTCTCCTAATACTACAAAAAACTATAAATATTTTTTACTCTCTGAATAAAAATACTGCTAATGCACCTGTTGCAGCAGTTGTCAGCTTCTCAGTGAGGCTTCACACCTCCTTTATCCCAGACAAGACAAAATAACTACACCTCTCCTCTTCCTCTTTTCAAAAGACTGTGCTCATAGCTCAACTACTTGTTGCAACTTCTCATGTTGGGAAAAAAAAAATCCCCACTTCATATGAGAGAGAGAGAGAGAGAGAGAGAGAGAGAGAGAGAGAGAGAGAGAGGGAGAGAGAGAGAGAGAGAGAGAGAGAGAGAGAGAGAGAGAGAGAGAGAGAGAGAGAGAGACCCGGTTGTTGTGACTAAATGACAAGATAAGGAAGTGAGTCATAAGTCTGAAGACGTACAGTTTGATTAAATAAAGTTAAGACTATATGTTTTTTGTTGTTTTGTGCAAAAGTGTTTATTGAAATGTCTTTAATTTTCTATTTATGATTCTTGACATTTGTTTTTTCAATGCAGTGTAAAACATAAAATGCCAGTACTCCCCTTATTCAAATGTTGTAGTGTATTGGCCACTACCAGCAATCTCATGCTACTTATTTCTATTCATGGATTATTTCTTTAAGCATGTTATACTGTGTCAGTCATAATGAGTTGTAATGTTATTGTTATAATAATACACTTGGGCTATGCATCTTCTATAGTGTGCCTATAATACTCCAGCTGAAACATTATGGGGTGAAAGTGGTGGGTTTGTACATTTACCCATAGTGTAAATATTTAAAGTTCTTTCCTGCTTAATTTGTAGCCTATAGTATCACTCTATAATATATTCAGCACTCATATTACATATTATGCAGCAGTATAAAGAGATATAGTCACCAGCATAGTCGATGCCTTGTCCGTTCATACAGTTCTAACTCTTGGACATGTTGGGCACCTTTTGCTCTCTGGAACGACACAGGACGAGTGAAAAGGGTGGGTGGGTGTGTGTCGGTTGTGTCGCACTGACTGAGCACAACAATCCTATTGTCATGCGAGATGAAGGACCCTGAGGTGAGTCCTGAAGTCCTCGTCAACTTTTAACTGGCCCGATCTTTAATTTCCACAGGGCAGGAGATACTGGATGTTCAGTAAATGATAAAACCAGTGTAGCCAGTCCAATCCAGTCGTCTCTCTCTATGCCACTCCTGCCTGTCCGATGACCTCAGTAATACCAGTTTGTTCAGCTACGTTAAGACTGACTCAGTGTTTTTTCTTTCTTTCTGCATTCCACTTTTGGTGGTCAAAACCTGCCACATTAAAATCATTTTGAGTTTCTTCGAGGCTGCACACTTTAAATAAACATTCAATCTGGAGTCCTGAAATGAGATTAAGACCAAAACCAACAATACAGACTCTGTTACAAATGATCCTTTGACTGTCATTATCATAAACACAGCCTGTGGATATGGAATCAAGAGGGGGGGAGAATGAGAGCGAGCAGTTTCCCATCACACTGTTTTGTCCATCGAAGGCTCAACGTGACGCTTCACTTCAGTGAAAAAGTTACTGTGTTTCTTCTATCTATTGAGGAGTAAAAGGTCAGAATCTGTAGTTTCTAGTTTGTTGGCCATTTTTGCTGCAGCTGTTAAAATTTCTGCAGCTCTTTCCTGACATTGACTCTCCACGCCGTCCATGTTTCAGAGTCAAACCAGCGAGAGTAGCAGTTTTCTTATTAATGTCATTTATGAGTCAACATGCCCCTTCACGTGGATGTGGGTTATGTGCCCTCTAGTGGATATGAGATAAGACTCTAGCAACATTGGAATCCTATTTCCAGCAGTTGTGGAAAAAGTAGTCAGATCACTTACTGAAGAAAAATTAGCAATAAAGTCCTGCATTTAAAACCTTACTTAAGTAAAAGCATATATGTATTAGCAAAATTAAAAGTCCTCATAATGCAGAATCGCCCATTTCAGAATAATGTATTATATCACTGGATTGTAATAGATGATGCATTAAAGGTGCAGCGTGGATTTGGGGATATCTAGTGGTGAGGTTTCAGATTGCATCCAACTGAATATTATGTTCCATTTCTGCCAATAGATCAAAATCAAATCAGCTAATAGCTTTATTTAAAAAGAATGCAGGACGAATGTATGTTAAGCATTTTTTTTAATGAAAACAAATAAAACAAAGTTACATAAATAAAATGGTAAGGAGAGAAATGTTACATATGCTCAACCTGACAAGTTTGCATTGCATATTTGCATTATAATCATCATAAAAAAACAAGTTCTGAAAATAAATACTGTACATATGAAGTGGACGGAGGTTCTCTGAAGCAGGAAGTGTCACGTTTTAGCACGTATGAGTACGATTGAAAGCTGCTGATCTGAGCCAAAGTCCAAAAGAAATATCAGTCTATTTTTAACTCTGAACTTTTTCTTGTTTCATTGTCAACATCTTGATGATTCAATTTTTTAAGCGATTCACCTGTTTCTATTCAAAATAATATCTGAAAGGTTTAAAAGGTGAAGATGGGTTGAATTGAATCTTTGACTTTCCTTTTTATTGCGTGGAGAAAAAATGAACTTGATGTGTCAACACGGTTCAGACATATTAATAAAAAGTCTGTATAAATATTATTCTTTTTAAATACAGTAAGTGAAAAATGTCAAAAGAAAAAAAACTTGATTTACTGTTTAAAATTTTGAAAGATAAAATTCAATAACCACTGGTGCAAATAACTTTTCAATGAAACAATATTACAGATGTGTTAAAAACAACTCCTGTCTGGCTCAGAGTAGAGCCCTGTCTGTAGCATTTTGGGTGAACTGCTCCTTTAAACACTTTAATTTTTCACTGTTTGCACATCCTCTTGGGTTAATAGAAAATGAGCTTTGGAAGTGATTAAATCCGATGATTCATTCCAAGCATGGAGAGAATACGCACACAGACACACACACAGTTGCTTTCACATGACTTTTGGGGACATTTCATTGACTTGCATTCATTTCCTGGAGACTTACCCTAACCATAACCTAACCTAATCCTAACCTTTACCTTACACTAGACCTAAACCTAAGCCTAAACCTAAACCTAACTTTAAACCAAGTCTTCACCCTAAAATGTAAAGATTTACAATATGGGGACGTGCATTTTGACCCCAAAAGGAAGGTGAGTCCCCACAATGTGACCGTGTGATCAAAATGTGTCCCCACAACACAGGTAAAACACGTCTTCACACACATACACACACACACACGCACACAGACAGACATTCATACATACTCAGTTTTTCGCCAAAAACATTTCGACAGTTTAAACAGAAATGAAAAGTTTATATCCTGTCAACTCGGAAACAAATCAAACAGTGCAACCCTGTTTGTTTCATTTCAGTATTACAACCCCAGTATCAAGACTCGGGCTAGTATCAAGACTCGGACCAGTATCAAGACTCTCAGGCCTGCGTATTGCTGATAAAGAAGCGGAGCGAATAGAAAAGCAGCAGCTGATCTGTACATTATTGCATCTTGATGACATCATCGGACAGAGGAGGAAGTTTAGTTGACGAGTTCAGAGGTTCGTTTTACAAGCATCATCAACATTTGATTTGACACTTTGTCTTCTTTTTACAGTTTGCATGTTGATAAAATTGATTAACGTTACTGCCCCGTGAGACCAAAATACTGCATAGATAAACACACACACACACACACACACACATATTGTCCTTAAACCTGTTTGTTCATTATTGGAAGACTGAGATGCTTCAAGTTCTTCAGGAGGAGGAAGGAAGACAGACAGAAAACATCAACCATTTCTAACCATAGATAATAATTGCCACTCAATCCTAATGGATTGTTCTTGATCTGAAAAGTTTGGCTGGTTTCAAACCCAAAATGTTTAGATGGGGACTTTGTTTTAAGAAATACCAAACAACATTTCTTTTTGCCTGAAAATAACTTTTGTGTACTCTAAACAGTGTTTCTTACTTAGTAAAACAGCTTAGAAATATGTTTTTGTACTTACAAAAACAGCAGCCGTGGAATGGCTGACATATTATGTATTCCTTTTATTTTGAGTCTTAATACAACACTCACAATTACATATTCTATCCAAGAGTTATTGGTCACTAACTGTTCCTCCTGTCCATATTGGCTGTATAGAAACTGTGAACTGTGAACTTGTCCTGTGTCTACTCCAGCCACTTAGATTGAAGCCCTTTCAAAACACTTTCACCCATTTCATCAGTTTCTGTTGAATTATCTGATTGCTGAGCGGAACAAGCGACTCTACCCCCAGGTGGTTCAGTTATTCAAATTGCTGATAGCCAATCAGAGAAGAGCCTTCAGACTGAAGTGGACTCCCTAAAAAAACATCCTGTTACATCATCAGAAGGAGGAACTTTTACACCTCTTCTTTAACTTAAAGGTGTCACGTTTTCTATGGTTTCTCCTGGTTCTGGGAAGCCCTTTCACGACCTTCAAACAACCACCTGATCATTTTAAATTCACTACATAGAAGTCTAAAAATGCAAACAGGAAGGTTCTGCTGGTGCCGCCTACAGGCTGCTGTGTTCATTACTCCCACAATATGAAATCGATGGCGAAGCAAGACAATATGCTGATGTTGAGCAGGGAGATTCAGTTTGTGTGACAAAATAATCTCAACTCAAAGGTCCACTCAAGCTTTTTTTCTGAACTTTCAACCACATCTACACTTCTTTAGCGATTGGATCTAGCTCAGGCCTCATCACATGACCTAAGTCTGATACATGATGAAGGATGATGAAAATCTCCTAATTTAAGACCAAAAGGGAACAGCCAAAACTTTAACAAAACACATGATTAGGATATAGAAATTATTGTTTCATTTATGAGCAAAAAAAAGGGCAGTGTGAGGAAAGTAGGGTAATCAAGATAACCACCCTCTCAGCACAGACATGACAAAACCCATTTTTTTTAAAGTCTCGCTGTTGGCTGCCTTTGAACTTGAATATTCAGTTCAGTGCTTGGGAGGCTGTCTGAACAGACCAATAAATACAAAATACTAAAGAAGACCATCTGCCGTTCGTCCTGATATTTCTAGGTCTATTATCCAATTTTGTCCAGCGTGATTTCTATTTGGTCATCACTTTTGATCAATTAATGCTGTTTTGTTTGGTTATGACTGTTAAATACATGTACATAGACAAATATATCTGTCTTTCCCTTCCATCATAAACTCACTATTTAAACATTTTCCTATTTGAGATATTTTTTAAATTGTATTTTTGCTTGTGCAGATGCCCCTAAGTGCGGTTATGGACCTACAAGTGAGATTTTTTACCATCACAGGGTCGCACAGTGACTCATGATGGAGACGATGGCAGAGACGTAAGTTATTCAGAACTGATTAGGGTTAATGTCGTGACATCTCAGGGCAGCAGCAAGCATTTTTTCGCAATATTGGAGCCATAAAAGCTGGCAAAGTAGTGACACACTTTAAGCCACTTACAGGTGACCTTTTCTTTCATTGAGAAACTCCTTTCCAATCCTCAAAGGTTTCACATTTAAAGACAGCTTGGGTCGCTGATCAGGCATTTGAGCCCTCTAAAGTCTGTCAGTGTCTGGTGGGCTGCATGCATTTATACCCACCTACAGTAGTTAGTCGTTTTCTCTGCTCAGATGTCAACAGTCATAGGTGAGTTTAGCCATATATACTTGTATTGAGATGGGGTGTAAAAATACAAATACACCTCAGCTACAAGAGACTGAATGAATATAACATCATCTGTCTGGTAATGCCGGATCAAAGCCAGTGACAGCATTGACTGGGAAGAGATCAAAGGTCATCGCCAAGGAGTCAGTGAACGGCCAGAGAAAGATCAAGGTGGACTATCAACATCTGAAGTCAGAAGCAGATGCATTTGAAAGTTTAGAGTAAAGGTAGTAAGAAGAGGAATATTTTGTCACACATGTTCATTATTAGCTGTTCGTAGAGCCTTACTAGGAGCAGAGCTAAACGTGTGATGTGTATCTTGAGGGTGGCACTAAAGGAAAGGTAATGAGGCTCTGGACCAATGTTGGCTGGACGGAAAGATCATGCTGTTGTTTGAAAGTCGTGATAAAGCTTAGGGTTAATATTTACAACATACACTGTAAAGTAACTTATCAGAGCTCAGAAAAAATCAACGGGAGAAATGTTTATATGTTCTGTTTCCTCGTGGAGAGTGAGTAAGCTTCATTAAGAAAAGAGTTCCTTTGTTGTGGCAGGCTGTGAAAAGTTCCAGTAATGTGTTAAAAGTCTTAAGAAGTTCCTCGGGTTGAGTAAAAGTTTCTGCTCAGACGCCTTAAAAACTCCAGAAAGTTCTGGTCAGATTCAGTGACAGCAGGAAGGTGAAACCGACGGACTGTTCCCACCAGGCAACAGTCAGGACGAAAGGCCTCTTTCACTGTAAAACCAGGAAGTAGCCGGGTCCAGAGTGTAGAGTGAGTCTGTAACACGCTGGCAGTGGAGAGGACAGCAGGTATAAGCAGTAGTGTGGATATCAGCCGTCTATATATCATTTCAAAGTCTGGTTCCAAACATACAGCAATTGAGTCAACGGTAGGTGAAAACAAACTGTCCTGGATTAACAATCCTGATGTGGCTTTCTGTTAAGGCTTATTGTTTGAGGGTTTTGGGGAGTTTAAATGGAAGGAGTGGACCTGTCAACACTGATTTTTTTTGTCTGGATAAACGATAATTTGAAAGGATAAAGGATAATTCCTCTATTCCACCTTGGTAGGGCTGTAGACACCATTGAGGACACGTGATGTCCGTGGTGATGTTTAGGGTAGTTTGAGAAGGGTTACATGCCATCAATTACACACATAATACACATTTATAGTTTTTTAAAGATAATTTTGTTTTGTTTTTTAGTCTAAATATATTTAGATTTAATTGTTTTTTGGCAAAAAACTGAATGAATTACAGTTGAGGGGAATTATTTTTTTTCACTTTATATTTGGAAGTTGTTATGAAAGATTTATGTCTTCAGTAGAAACCAGTGGGCTTGGAGCTGAGAGCCACAGACATGAAGTCAGAAAAAACTGAGAGACAAATAAATCGTTCTGTTTGGTCTTTTCCTTTGTGGTCTTTTCCTTTGTGGTTGTCAGACGTAGGAGGGTGGGGGAGGGCCACTTTACTCCCCAGGCCCTGATTTGCCATCGCCCCTGGTGTGATCCCATCCCAAGATGGTGTCCGGTTTAATTTCTCTTTCTCAACCTCGCAGTTTGCTTTCTCAAGACGCTGTATTTTAGGAACGAGTTGAGCATTAGCGCAGGGACGACTGAGGGAGGACATTGTGGCATCACAGTCCAGTGTTTATATAACTTGACGACATCTGCAGTAATATTCGTTCACGGTTAGCTCGTCCAGCAAGAGGAAAAAAAGCGTCTGTGTTCGGAGGAAATTTGTCTCCTCCAAACTCTGAGGACCCGACCCAAACAGACCTGAACTGAGTCCACACGTTGTCTTTGTCTTCTTCTTTGTGGTTGGTCTCAACACAAGCTGCATCTTTAGCCTGTGAATCACAGCGATTTATCCAGGAGCGGGTTTCGAGGATTGTTGAGATATTTTTTAGATTCTTGTAAATTCTGGTTCCTTCCGAATCCTAGTTTTGAATTCTTATTTCAATCAAACCAAAATATATTCGAAACAAACCCTATCTTTGTTTTCAGTAGATTCCGGCTGCCTCAAAGAGTAATTTGTCAAACATGATGAGGTACTTTGGGGTTCTTTTTAGTTATAACATCAAAGAAAGAAACAAATATAAATATTCTCTATGATTCCTTGCACATGTTGAATGTTTTACGTATTGGATGTGTTGAATGAGCTGAATCTCTGTCATCAAAATGAAAAAAGATGATTTTTTTTTTAAAATTTTGGGCTGATTCTGTATCTTTTTAACTGTGTTAAAGAGAAAATCCCTTTTTTTTTTAGAACATGTGGAAAACTTTCAGTCTCTGTTCTGTTCTGGTTTGGATAAAATCACCATCGGTTGCTGGGACGTTTCAGACCCGAGGAGAAGATCCAGGCAGGTGAGGGTTCTGTCCTCTCAAGTCTTCTTTTGAAGGAGGTTGTAGGTTTGAGTCCCTGCAGACGTGATCGCAGAGCTGATGTCTCTCCAACAAACTGGAGGTCAGAAGTGAAAGGTAGCCAGGTCCGACTCCCCCCCACCGACGCTGCCATCAGTAGGGTGTGAAGAGGATCGATCCTTGGCTCGCTCTCATTGGTCCAGGAGCTGGACGCAGGAAGGAGGTGGTGAAGAGGGACGAGGAGGTTGGAGGGCGAGGACAGAGAGAGATTGTTGGGGTGAGGCGGGAGGAGGTGGGAGTGAGGAAGGAGGAGGAGAGAGGGGCGGGAGGAAAGGAGATGGTGGAAGTGAGGGAGCAGGGCGGAGGAGCAAAGGGATTAGAGAGGAAGGGCGGAGAGAGGGAGGGCTTCACCAACTCCTTCTGGAGGCAAGGAGAGGAAACAAGGGGAGGAGAGGAGATAAAGGGAGGAGAGGAAACCAAGAGAAGAGAGGCAACAAGGAGAGGAGAGGAGTGGAATGGCAACAAGGAGAGAAGAGATTTTTTGAAAAATTGAGTAAATACAAAATCAAATAAAAGTATTAAACAATTAACCGAGGAGCAAATAAAAATGTCTTGTGAAATCGATTCTTACAGTCCTCAAGTATTGATTTATAGCAGCTTTTATCGATTTTATTGATTTTATTGATCTGCACTACACTCTACTTAATTGACTCAATAAAGCATATGTGAATTTGAATGAGAGAGAGAGAGAGAGAGAGAGAGAGAGAGAGAGAGAGAGAGAGAGAGAGAGAGTGAGTGTGGAGTGTGTGGTAGAGAGACACTTACTGTGAGCGAGCTGTGCTGCTGTTTGTTGTAAGGACTGTATTTGGGTTTGCTGGGTTTTCCTGCCACTCTGTCCTTGTGCCTCCTGCTGGAGATGTGCTGCAACACAAACATTGATATTCTACTAATATATCACATTGGTAAACTATGGCTGTGTCCAAAAATCACTTCCTCTTTACGGTAGCGCACCATATTTACTATGACCTTTTATTTTAATGTCCGAATTCTGAGTGTGTAAATGTGTCCGCAGTATAAGTGCTCTCAAACATTTAACAATGGTAGCTACAATAAAGAGTAGTGTCCATGAAGTAACATGTAGCCTAGTTTCGCTAATCCCACAATGCATTTTATAGATGCAAAAACAACAGTCGACAAAGCAAAGTGATTTATAAGTACAATACCGGGACCCTGAAACTCAGCAGCTAAATGGAATTCAGCCACCATTCATTTGATTATTTACACCTGTGCTTTTCCTACTGTGACATATCAAAAATGCATTCTGTGAAAAAGGCCTAAATCATTTTATCAATTAATGATTTGTTTTTTCATAAATCACTGTATTCAATGTAGTAATGTCCAAACCATTTTTTCTCCAAATTATGACGTATTCTAACTAAACTACTCGTACAATTTATTTTGGCAATACTCAACTTATTTAGGTTTTATGTTAATAAAGCAAATTTGCGAAAGAGAATGATGAGAGAAGACGTTAAGACAGTTTTCCAAAAAAATAAAACATTTAGAGAACAACCAGAATTCAATAATCATTTTAAATCCCGTAAAGAATTCATCAAGTCAAATACAGAAAGATAACACGTTGCTGAAACGTCAGCTTATAAAGTAAAGGCTATGCTGCATATCCGGCAAACTACACTGCTGCTTCATTTTCAAGTTGTTTCACTTGTTTGCTGTCTAATGCAGTGGAACAATCGTCCCCTTAGCTCCACAGCACACACGAAATAAAGCCATTAACTAAAAGCTGAATATTAAGTTAAAGTTTCAATGTTTTAAGCTGCTTTACCATGAGTCTGATCATGAGGAGATTGTTTGTAGATCTGGAGAAGAACAGTGAAAGATTTGCGTTCGTATAAAGTAACGTTGAATGTAAGAATGATGTTTCTACCTGTTTAAGTTGGATCTCGGAGTTGACATGGACGTCACAGATCTGGCAATGGAAGGTTTTGTTCTGCAGGCCGGAGCCCTTCAGCACAGAGCCGCTGACGCTCTTCAGCTTGGCTCCGGTTCGAGGGTAGGCCTTGATTGGGCCGGCACCGCTCCGAGCCTCCAGCATGGTCTTGTGCTTTGAACCTGCAAACAGAACACACGGAAACCAAAGTTCTAATAAACAGGAAACGTGATGACAATCACAAACCCTGTGTACTTTCAATTTTTGCTGCTCCTTTTTCAAATCATCCATCAGTTTTAAGATAGAATTTCTTCCTTCCAGCCCATTACACTGCAGAGAATTGAAATTTGCTGTAATAATCATTATCACGTGGTAACACCAGTGTTGAAAGCTCTCATGACGTATATGAAGCATGGGATTTAGACATCACTCAAGCTCCTACTGAAGAAATAATAAATGGTGTCAGATCAGATATCTTCTCGCTCCTCCTCACCTGCATTATGAGCCTCCAGCTGAGACAGAGAGTTGACAGCAACTTTGCACAGAGAGCAGTACAGCAGCTTCTTGGCCTTCTCCTCCTCGGACTCCACTGAGAGAGGAGCTGATGAAGAGGAGGTGACAGGAGCTGGAGGAGCAGGAAGCTGAGAGGCTTTAGAAGACGGTGGAGAGGAGGAAGAAGTGGAGAAGAGGCCCGGGGCAGGGAGAGCGGTGGGGGGACTGGAGGGAGGAGGCTCGTTCCCTCGTCTGCTAGAGGAGGGGGAGGTGGAGGAAGAAGGGGAGGAGGAGCAGGGGAGGCGGAAGGGTTTGAGAGGAAAGGAGTCGGCCAGACTGACTAAGAGATCTGGAGGGAGGAAAGAGAGGGGGAAGAAATGAAAACACCTTGCGATATACAAACCGTACTCAACATTAACAGTGTTTACATCTGTCTTATTAAAATCAACCTGTGTGCTGATTGGTGCTGCAGTTAGCTGAGACAGGAGGGGCGGGGCAAACAGGACTTGGGATGCTCCCATTGGTTTCTCCAGTGATCGTCTGCTTGGCCTTGGTCTTGTTCTCCTGAGACTTGATTTTCTTGCCGTGACGACTGCCTCTGTAATGAGCTTCTGCCTGAGACTGAAGCAAGAGACAGAAATGTTTTATATTTCTGTTTGTTTCTGCCATCTACAGAAGTCCTGATGTCACTTCTTGTATAGCCACCCTTCCTCTAGCTTTAGAGACTCGGTACAATCTTGAGGGTTTTATTTCACCAGTCTTTCTAAAAACTGTAATATTGCAGTTTTCAGAAAGACTGGTGAAATAAAACCCATTTATTTATAAATGAGTATTCCATAAATGTAGCATTGCACACCTATAACTTTGTTGGACTCATGAAGGAAAGTTTTTTTTTTTTAAGTATAAAAATTGATGCAGCAGAACCAGATCATCTTTTTTATCCTGGCTCCTACATTACCCAGAATGCAACTCAACCATCACAGTGCATTATGCTAGCAGCTGCTAATGTATAGCCTCAAGCAGAGATGAGGAGAGGTCCGGTAACCTCACTTCTTTCTAACTCCACACCTCCCTAATCTGACATTTCATGTCTGCTGTCTAAACAAGAGTAAGAGCAATGGTGCTTTAAACTAAATGCTAATGTCCGCATGCTAACATGCTCACAGTGCTGACATACAAATGTTAAGCGAGTAATTTACCAGGTTTACCATCTTAATTTAGATAGCATCTTAGCATTTGCTAATTAACACTTAACACAAAGTGCAGTTGCTGATAATAATGTTAGTAGTTCTGAAAGTATTAAATAATAAAAAAAATACCTGGTTGCCATAATCTGTTGCATTAACATGAGATTTTCACATAGACTATTATTGAAGTGGACGTAGTCACCCAAAATGTCACCCAAAATGTTACAATTAACTTTCATGAAGTGAAAACAGGGTTAAAGTTCTAAGATGAAAACACAAACAACTCCCAGATCAGACAAAGGTGTTGTCGCGACAAGGTAGCCCCGCCCTAAATCATACCCTGCTGTATGATCTATTGTACTCTAAATGGTCCATTATCTACTATTAACATCATGCTGTATTGAAGAAGACTTAAATCTAGTGATAGAAAAGTAGGGTCATTTTCTTATAGACTTCTATACAATCAGGCTTCTTCTTGCAACCAGTGGAGTCACCCCCTGATGGCCATTAGAAAGAATGGAAGTTCAAGCCACTTTCACATTGACTTTACTTTTCAGACATAGAGGTTGCTGCCTGTTTTTGTCATTATCCAGATAAGATATCCAAATACAGATAGCCTGCTAATACCAGGTGGAGATGGAGTCTTTCATCTGTCTGCGAGCCACTGTGTTGTATATGGACTTGAAATGTGAACCCTGAATTGTGTTTGTGTGAGCAGTTCAGATAAACAGAATAACTCTACACTGTTAAAACATCATCAGTCATGTCACCACGCATTGTAACAATCCCAGAGTGACAGAGACAGTACACTGAAACAAACCTCCAGGTTAACAGTGTCCTCATGTGACTGTCTGGAAGCTCTATGATTCAGCTTTTTATTCAGTTTATTAGACTGAGTTAATGCTGTCCTTTTACTCCTCTCCTTGTCTCCTCTCCTCAACAGTGATTCCTATTTTCATGTTCACTCATGCTAATTTTAACAGCTCATAAATTAGTCACGTTTGACTGGCGTGTCACCAACGATGCAACTTGCACCTCTTAGCAGTCACTGTGTGAATGAGTTGAGTGTCATTTAAACTGCACTGTAATAATATAGATGGCAGGGGTTACACCTGATTATACTAACCTGCTGTTTTGCAGGAATGCCTGACAGGATAATCCAGTATACAAAAACAAAAAAGCCTCAAAAATATCAGTCTCATCTAAATCAAACATCATAAGGAAATCTTTTTTTTCTTAGAAGTGCAAATAAAAATGTTAATTGTGTCCTCAGGAAATCTCCTCAAAGGACGAGTCCAACATCAACTACTGACAGTTAATCTGTGCATTTAGACAAGGAGGGTCATTAGCCTAGTTTAACAGAAACTGGTTGCAGGAGGAAACTGTTGTGAGAAAATACACTGCAAATGTTGGTCATTTAGCAAGGATTTACAGCTAGCTATGCTAATATTAGCTAAAAGGTAAATAATAATTTTAGAGCCTACTATTTGTTATATATTATATTCTTCTCTTCAATACCGTTTTCATTTTTTCCCTAAAAAACACAGATTTAAGTTGCTAATGATATAACATTTATAAGCAAGTGATAACTTTATCTTTTCGCAAACATGTGAACTAAAGTAAACAAGCAACCAAGGAATATAGAGAAGCACCAGGAACCGGGAATCCCAGGAATTTGATTGAGGTATAACTTCAGCTTCAGTCAAAACATATATATATTTTAAGCAGTACTAATTGGTTTATGCCTAGAACGTAACTAGTTTTTCCTGTTTTCATGATATCATATTTGTTGGGATGGACGTGCATTCCCGGGACTCCCATTTAAACCCTAGTGTCCAGGTTGTATTTACAGCTAAGCAAAAAGACTAGAAGCTGGGGAGAATTGCTTGTCTCTTGTTCTTTCAAAAGTAAAAAAAAAGAGAAAATAAACTGTGAATTTGGTAATTTTCAACATCATAACACTCTGTGAGGTCCTGGTGGGACTATCATGATCTCTTGCTATTTTCACAATAATGAAATAAAAGAATGAGGGCAACATAACATAAGCTAGCAAGCTAATTTTGGAGCACACTTTATGTTCAACACTGTTTTCAGTTCTTTCAATCCTGCACTGAGTTTGGTTGCTAATGAGAGCTGACATTTTAGCAATCACCTTTCTGTATGTCTTCTGCAAATTTAGATGAGATGATTGATATTTTCATCTCAAAGCATCCAGTGCGAGATCCAGGATATTTAGCCTAGCTTAGCACAACTAGAAGCAGAGGGGACACTGCTAACCCTAACTTCAAATATGTCTGATTTACATGTAGTATGTTGTTTTATCAGCAGGTTTAGAAATAGGAATGTGAAATTGTTGACCAAAAACCACTGGGCGCAGTGACTGCATCTCAAAACGTCTGTCCATTGTTTGGAGTAGGCAGGACAACAGCATGTAAATCAGATAGCTTTGAATTACTCGTTGGAGGGTGTATATTTTTTGCTTCTCTCCCTTCCAGTCTTTGTGCTAAGAAAGGCTAAACAGGTCCGGGATGAAACACCCGATGTTCTCATCTGACTCTGTGGAAGACAGAAAATAAGAGGGTTTTCTAGAAATGTCAGACTAGTCTTTTAAATGTGCTTCAGACATTTAGATCGCAGCATGACGAGAATGCAGATGTGCAGATGCAGACATGACAGGGAGATGATCATAGAAGAATACAGTAATCAAAATGACTGGAAGGGTGTGAAGAATCAGATTTAGTAAACAGGTTAAACACAAATAGAAAAACAAACATTGACACTTACATCAGAGTTAAACCTTAGCTGGCAGACGTTGCATGAGATGACCTGTTTCCTCTTGGGCACCAAACTAACACCAAAGGTGTGGTTGATGACGGCCTTCTGTACAGGGTCCATCTGCGGGGTTACACACAGAGGTCAGAGGTCAGCAGCCTGCTTGGCAGAACAGTGATGACAGAGTGATGTTGACAGAGTGACAGGTCTCTTTATCACAATCAGTCTGTACCGCCTTCAGCTACAGCACCCTGTCACTGTTACTGTCCCTCACACACACACACACACACACACGCACGCACACGCACGCACACACACACACACACACACACACACACACACACACACACACACAC